GGGCCCCCCCCCCCCCCCCCCCCCCCACGGTTCAAAAAAAAATTATGAAGATCATTTGGTTGCTAATGTAAAACCATTTCGAATTTGGACAGTGGCACTGGTCGTACCAGATCCACGGATCCCTTGGCTCCACAAACCCTCAGCGATTAAATTTATAGGTCTCAGAATGCCGTAGAGCATTTAAAAGGGCTTCACCCATGTTCCAACTCCCCCCCCCCCTTCAAGTAGTTTAGCTACCAAATTTGGGTGTGGTGATTTGACTATGTATAACCTCTCAACGTTTAACGTTGCTGTTCGTGAAGTAAAATTGTTTGTTGTCATACCGCATACTTGGGCGTAATTGGCAATTAACTACAATGTTAATTCATATTAAAGGTTTATGAATTCTTGATGACATAAACGCCAGCAAGTAAAATTTAACAATAAAGTTCGTCTTCACAAAATATATCATTGAGTGCATCGTATTAATGATTTATTTATCTTTTTCATTTTTAAAGGCAACACCCGAATTAAAAGCCACGGAAGAACGACAAGAAAGCATGGTCTTCAGGGTTTGTGCTGAAGTGTTACGAGTAATATTCCCAATCATGTGCAATTTGGTTTCAGTAATGACGTATTGTCTTTCAAAATACGTCCTGATTTATAGGGACATTCCGCTTTGTTTGTAGGTCGAAAAAATCTTTTTGTTCAAATTTATGAAAACTATGCACCAATATCAAGAGAAATGTGTCCCTTAACGTATCTGATAGTTTTAACTTTAAAAATCAAGCTGTGAAACGCCAAAACGGTTTAAAAAACTTTTTAAGTTCGATATGCTTTATGTTAGCTGATTTATGAAGACGTTTATGATACTGAAATTTATTACAAAAAAGCAGAATGTCCCTCCAAGTAATACTTTCAATTGAGTTACATTGCCTGACAAACTACCAAGAACATGTATGTTATTGTAAAATATGCTATAAGTAGTGCTTTATTCAGATCTAAAATTAGATCCACCTCAGTGACAGAGCGTTCTGAGATTTCAGCGCTTCGCGAAATACTCCATTGAAATACTGTCAATAGTTTACTTGCATTCTGTATAGCGTTCCTTGTCTTCATTATCCAAATCATAAGTAACAAACGGACCTAATCATGTAGATTTTTAATATACCAATGTTCCTTTCCCCTTTTAACCAAATTTGGGTTGCTGAAACGGAATCACGCGAGTAATTAGCACTGCAAAGTACTAGAAAGTAAATAAATAAATATATTAGCCAGGATTTAAGAATAGAATTAGTTAAAAGAACTATATCAACGCACCAAGTGCTTTACGTAAGTGAGAATATTGACAGAGAGAAATATTGATTTTTCTAGCTATTGAACATAGAACTACCTTGACAAGATTGTCTACAATATCGACTATGCCTTTACATTATTGTCATATCATGTTCTACTGCTTACTGTCATCTTATTTGTTGACACGTTTCCATAACAACTAAATATACTCCTATAGTGTATTTCATATAAACATTCCTGGAAATAGTCTTGAATGTCAAGTTTCATTTATTTTGTCCACAGATTAAAGTTACTCTTGTTAATATTACCACAAAATTTTTATTTTGAATTCATCATTGACGTCAAACGCGAATTGTTATATGAAATGATTTTTTTTTTTCGTGCAAGAAAAGTAAAGAGATTTGCAAATTTTTGTACAAAAACATTTGATTTCCAAATTTTAAATTCAGAATTTTATTAAATGTGACGTTTTTGAGCTCATTAATATTTAAAACCCCCTTAACTGGCATGTTCGAAATAAAATTACTATAAGTTATAAGTAATTTCAGTATAATAATTATATGAAATAAGCGTCTTGCAGTTCGAGATTAAAATAACTCAATTGACTATAAATGAAATAGACTCTACTTGTGGTGACGGCTATTTTCCTTTTTAAATTTTATACGAAATAAGAAAATGGTGGATTATATATATTGAAAATCATTCGAAATCAACAAATATGGCGGAGGAATCGTAAGTTGTTTTATTATTAGGCTACTGATCTGAAATGTTGATACAGTAGGAAGAAAATACCGTATTATGATCTATAGTATTGAGCGATCCACTCGACTGGATATCTGGCAATGTCTTTCATATACAATAATATGTTCCTTAAATGTTAGGCGACATTATAAGTAGTATTATAAGTTTGATATGAAATTCTGAACTATAATAAATCAAGGTTCTTACAAAGAGATTTTCAATTCAAATCATTAAAACAATATTGACGTCAAAGTTTTTCCTGTAAGTTCATGTACGAAGGAAGTCAGACAAAAAGCGAGATGGTGTTCTTGATACACACATGAGGGACGGAAACAGACTACCTAATATTTATGGAGAGATTAAACTATATGAAGTACTTTCAGACACCTTCGTCCATCTCGAAGAATAACGGTCGTAATGGACGCTTACGGCCGGCCCATTGCTTCTTGTGCGTTTGTGCGTTCACTTACTGCTCGGTTACTTCTTGGGTACTTCACTTAATGCCCTACCCCCTTTTTATCTTTAAAAGTTTTTCGACACCATCCAATCGAGGCCATAGATATGTATTGCGTCGTGTCGCAAATCGTTACAGCTACAGCTTATCTACATGTTTATTTTTATTTTCAGGGTTAAAGTAGCCGTAAGGGTGAGACCCTTTAATTCAAGGTAAGTATATATTTCAGAAAGTGTTGAACTTATTGATTATTATCAAAGATAAAAAAAAATTTATTCAACTTAAGCTAAACTATAGTTGTGTATCAAGTGCTTATGTATCAGTGGCTACAGAGGTAAAACACTTGATGCCAAGTGAATTGGATTGTCACCCCACTTAGTGAGTCCACACAGCTTATTATAAGGTATATTAACCTAAAGTAAACTGAACGATTCCAATTCCTCTATCCAAAAGTCATTGAATAAGTTGTATCTATGTCATCAGCTGTTGCAAGTTATACCAAAGCTCCATGAAATTATATCAGCATTATGGTATGGTGTATGGTGGTTTGCTATAATATATCACGGTTGCTATCATATTTCAGAGAAAAAGACAGGAGAGCAAAATGTATTATCAAGATGCAAGACAAAATGACTATGATAGCCAATCCTGATGCTCCAAGTAAGTTAATTTAGTGTGTACCGTTTTGAACAAGAGAGGTGTGTCCATTAAACCTTCGTGGGACTTTCACCCATTCTTTAAATCTGTTTTGGAAAGACGATCTAGGAAATGTATATGTTTTCGGGCAGAGATTGGGAGTTCGTGACTAGAAAGGCAAAAATCGTGTTCCTTGGGAGACTTCTATCAATACTACTTATGGAGGTTTTACCCCTGCAAGTGATAAAGGTCGGGGGCGATATTTCAAAAACCTCTTGAAAGAAGTGTCTCAGAAGCTCTGCATATTGAAGAACCATTGACCGTTGCAAACTGGAAAATACTAGGCTAAAGCCACTCTATTGGCAAGATCTCTTCTATTCAAATCCCCAAGATTGCGACTAATATGACGTTCGTGGTATTGCCTATCCATCAACTCCTTCTTCATCACTGCTATGTCATATAGCTCTGATCCATACCTGCCCTGCACTTATACACGTTCCATATTGGCTATATCATAGCTTTTCTTATTATAATAATACCTTATAACATACATATAGCTCTCACAGATTTTATTTTGATCCATATTTACCTTTCAGATGAAGAGCCTAAGAAGGTAAGTATTGTAATACATATCGCGTTTCTGAACAAAACAGTTTGATTTAAATATCTCATGAATGAATTAAGTTTCATTGATTATATAAGAATTAATCAATAGAATACTGATTACACATAATGCTACTTGAATCATAATGAAGATTGCTATAAGATAAATTATAATGATCAGTATCAATATTGATAAACATAAAATTACTGGCCGGGGTGTTTCGTGTGTCATTTTCGTATTAATGATATATATTTTTTCCTTGTAGTTTTCATTTGATTATTCCTATTGGTAAGCTACTTTAGTTAATGCTTTTTAAATACAAGGATCTCCCAGAGGGAAGGCGCCTGCTTTATACATCGAATATACACAGAACTACAAACTTATTTGATTCAAAGAAAGGCTATTGATTTTCGTAGTGATTTTAAGAATATCCTATCGTTCTGTATTTTAGAAACTTTGGGTCATTCTACTAGTAATTTTAATATTCCAATTTTCAGTCCAAAGGTAGTGGTAACTGTAAATAGAAATCAGAGTAGTGTAATAGAAGCTTTAGTGTCCCCCATATACAATAAAAGGGCTAGAAAATCTTTTTCGAATCATTTTAAGCTCGATGCGACTGTATTGCATTTCTTCCGTTAATTAACTGCAGTATACAAAGTATTACTAGCGATATATTAAGTAGATAAGTTCCAGATCACCATTAAATGTTCAAGCTGTGTGCTTTGACAAGAGTTCAGAATTATCCGCGTTTTAAAGTTAAAAAGGCGACTCGTCATTTTCTTGAGACTATGTCTTAAATAGAAAAACAAAATATAGAAATAGAAAGAGAAATTATGCGATTTTCGTACATTTTAGTACTTCTGAAGACTATTTAATATTATATATATGTTGAATCTGTCCGTTTTAATGCCATTTGCTTACTATTGCGAATATTTTTCACGACTGAAATGGTGGAATGTCTTTTTTAATCATACCATTTGTCATTTGAAGGTCACATGATGGTTTTAAAGAAAACAATGACGGAACATTCGATGCTGTAAGTGGTAGTAAATTTGCCAGTCAAAGAACTGTGTACAACGATTTGGGAAAGGGTGTTTTAAACAATGCTTTTGAAGGTTTGTTTCAGCAGAATCATTTTTTAATTTTTACTTTTCAGAATATACATTGTATGTCGGAAAAGCTGATACAAGTATTAGATGTTGTATCATTCTAAGAGGCAATATATAAACTAATTAGCCATAAGTATACAAATATATTTATGTATTAATTTGTATATATTTTTTGTAGGGTATAACTGTTCTTTGTTTGCTTATGGACAGACTGGGTCTGGCAAGTCGTACTCCATGGTTGGATACGGACCAAATAAGTAAGTTTATGAGATATTGTTGATCTAGTGTCAAAATTTTCCTTCCACCCATCAGTACTGGCGTATGGGACGGGGTAATAGCTGGGTGTGACTGTATATTTTGACAAAGGTATTTTCCAGGTGTCATTACCAGAAATACAATTCTATTTTTGTTTTGGAGGAGACTTCAAATTTGTCGAAATTGTGTGAACTTCAACACTTATCTATTTCAGAGGCATAGTACCAATCATTTGTGACGAATTGTTTAAAGAAATAGCATCAAACACAAAAGATAATAAAGTAGGTTGATCATTATCAAAATGTAATAAAATAACATCTTGAATCAACCTGAATCAGTGGTTACAACAGTTATGCAATTTCGTTCGTAACGTCATGTCGACGCACACAATTTTAGTCGGGAATAGACACTTTCAAATACGCCTTTAATCTCATCATTAACAATAGCAAAATGAAATCCTAAAGTTTCTTTGAAACACATACATTAGTTAAATTAAACCAATCTATTCTCATTGGTTAATCAAATGTTAATAATTAATGAATTTACACAGCAAAATAAAAAGACACATTTAAAAGATTATTCTTCAGTACATGTCAAATGTTTGATTTTCTGAAAATTCTTAAACAGACATTTTTTTTACAGAGATTTGAGGTCACATTTTCCATGTTAGAAATTTACAATGAACAAGTCAGGGACTTGTTGGCGAAAGACAATCCTAAAGGTGGTTTGACAGTCAGACAAAATGCTAAACTTGGAATGTTTTACGTAGAAGGATTAAAGAACACACCGGTTGGAAGTTATCAAGAAATCGAGAAGAGAATGGAACAAGGTTTGATTTGGTTTATAAGTTCTTCTTAAATCCGTCAATGCTGCGAGCCATATCCTTAATCCTTGATTCCCAAATCGGTGTATCAGTACCACATTGGAATTGATAACATCCATCACAACCGAAGAATACACAGGGAATACCAAAAACAAAACAAAAATACAGAGAAATAAAACCTAAATAACACAGGAAGTACTGAAGAACACCACAGTAATATTTCGTTCTTCATTTCGCCAAGTACCAAGAAATAGGAAAAGAAACATTAGGGTACTTAAAACAAACAAAGGTGTTTTTGTTTTATGTTTTGAATAGCACCCAGACGTGCACAAATATATTACTCTAACAATAATTTACCTATTAATTCATCAAATTTATCTTTATTTAATAAATAGGCACAGCTGCAAGAACTGTAGCCTCGACTAATATGAATGCTACTAGTAGTCGGGCTCATACAGTAGTCACGATCACTTTTGATCAGATTATCAAAGATAGTATTGGTTCTGAAACCAAGAAGAGCAGTACCATTAATTTAGTAGATTTAGCAGGTATGTGTCATTCCTTCAGTTTTACATCATTTGAGACCATAGACTGAACTCTAGCACGATTATATACCAAACGTTTGGCTCGATTTAGCGAGGTGTTTCAACTTTTACCATAAATCTGATGTTGACATGTGGCCAATGGAATATTCTTTGGTGATGCAAAATTCAAAAACAAACTGTTAAGATATCTATTATCTTATGAACAATTTTTAACAAGTTGATTCAAAATAATAGATATGAGGCGCTCGTCTGCATCGTAACCAGCAGCCTATATAACGCCATGTAAAAATTGTATATAGGTACTGCTCATCAATCCTTGGACAGGACTGGAATCTGTCATAAGATCATATTTGGAATTGCATATCGTAATGTAATGCGGCAGGTCATTTGCAAATTGGATAACATCTATGGGATTCAAGTGTTGTGCTTGGCGAAGGAGGTCGAGTTGAATGACCTAGTTAAATGTAGATGATTATCTTTGTTTATCAAACTTTCAATAGGATCTGAAAGAGCTGATAGTACGGGTGCTACCGGAGATAGATTAAAAGAGGGAGCTAATATTAACAGATCCTTATCAGCTCTGGGTAACGTTATATCGGTAAGTGACTGCAATATATTCACATTCCACACTTGCAGGGAGTGAGTTTTTGTGCATTTACTCGTCAATAAACGTCCTAAATTCCCACAAAATTTGACCATAATATAACGAAAATATCGCAAATAGCATTCAAGATTAAATGGTGTCATGGCGTCATTGATATTTAATTGCGTTAGCAACTTAAAAGTCTGTTTAAGTTTTTCTGGAAATGCAAGATCCGAAAAAAACAAAAAATCGGAATGGTGCAAATAGAATCCATAATTGTCATCTCATACAAAAAACGCCAGAAGAGATGGAAGAATTCAGGTCTTTGTAGACTTGCAGTCCATCTTATAATAGAGTCAATGGCTACGTCTAACTGCTATGACGTCGGTAAATGTTACATCTGGAAAACACAATGTTATACTATTCGTATATAAATTATAAAAACTATTACAATTTCCATTATTACAGGCCTTAGCAGATGTATCAATGGGGAAAAAGAAGGTTTATATTCCATATAGAGAATCAGTACTGACAAAACTGTTACAGAACGCATTAGGTGGAAACAGGTATCTATATATTTGATATACCATGAAACTGGTGCTGACGTTCAAAACTTTAAGCAAGAAATTTGAATTTCATTCGTTGGAAATTCAAGTAATTAGATTTAAGAAAGCTTGTTTGTGAATATCCACTTTTCTCAACAATGCAGTTGACTTGGAGCTAATGTTTCGGTCCTATTTTCAGTAAAACGGTGATGATAGCTGCCTTATCACCGGCAGATATAAATTATGACGAGACCTTGTCAACACTAAGATACGCAGACAGAGCCAAGAAAATTAAAAACCAGGCAGTTGTCAATGAAAATCCTTTGGATAAGTTAATCAGAGAACTAAAGGTATATAACAGATGTTTTTCATATATTGGATAAACAAGCATTTGTTCAGTATATAAAATATGTCATTTCTTCATGTTGAATCCAAATATTTCTTATCTCTGGAGTCCGCGATTCTTCGTGGTGTGCTTTAATTCGATCTTGACTGATCGAGGGTAGCTAATAATCATTTATGATTACATTCTTCACTTGAGATTTGCCATTGTCATATTTGTGTTCATCGTGTGATCTCAACACAATAGCCGATAGTTTGTAAGAAGGGCATTGGTTACCCGGAATAGCTTACGCGTCTTATGTTTCTATTAATTTGTAGGAAGCTTTAATGACCAGAGATAGATTGTCTTTACTACCATCTGCTTCATGACGATATTTCAAATAGTCAAAGGGAAATAACTACGAGAAATTCAAAATATCAAACGATCACAAAACTGTGGTTGTAACTTAAGAGTGACCATAGGGATTTATACTGTCACTGATTTCGTTAACATGAAATCTTGCTACCAGTCCTGACAGTTAACTTGAGTCATTTTTCACTGTGGTGACGATTTTTCCCCTTTATGTATGTTTATGCATGGTTGACAATACTAATGGCATTAAATTCGTCATTGATAGAAGCAATATTTCATTAAGGTGAATGAGTTGTTGAGGAAATGAAATAAAGTCGAATTCTTTTTAACCTATAACATGGGAACTTATCGATGACTTTAATGTAATGTCTTTAAGGAAGAAAATGAGAAATTGAAACACAAAATGGACAGTGGAATGACTCCTGTTGCTTCAGAGGGCATGTCACAATCAGGTAATTTTCAAATTGATTATCAGTCAAAATCCAACATACTACTTAAGCACCCCAATCTAATTTGAGCTCCTCTTCAAATTTTACAATGGCGACTTCCACTTTAAAGTTTTTGAATGCTCAATGAACAACCTTTTCGGATTTAAACTGTTTGATGATTTTTATGTGCACAGACTGTAGCAAACGGGGCCTCGGTTTATTATCCGATGCTTTTCATTGTCGTCCTCTCCAACTTGCCCCAACTAAAAAATCCAAGGGAATAATGTTGAAGTCTGTTGTAAAAATACTTTTAATAAATGTTCAACAGTAATAACCAAATTCTTCAAGATTCGGTCATTACAGAAGACCTCGAAGCAAGCGTTGAAATTTTTCAGAAATTGCTCAAATGAGAGCTAAGATGGAAGAAGAAATACGAGCTCAACTGATGCAGAACAACCAGATACTGTTACAAAATACACAAAATTGGGATGAAATGGTAACTATACCGCTATTATACACATGTTGAATAAACTGCTTATCATATTTCAACGTTGCAGAATGGAAAAATCTGGAAAACATTAAGTTTGTTGATATTGTTTTTATCGAGACGAGTTGTCTTTTTAACATGTTAAATAGGTTGTTAAGAGGTTATATGCTTTATTATGTATAATGGAGCAATATATGGCTTTTCTTTTTGCATTCCAATTCCATTCCAATTATTTCTCAGACAGCTGTAGATCCTGTAATTATAGAAATGCTTAACGGTATGGTATGACTATCGGAAAAGCTGCTAGTAATATCAAATGGCTTTTGTGATAGCAGCCATAAAACGCTTAATTTTAGTGGAATTGCAACGATCTGAACGATCCTTGGAATGGTGCACACCATTGCTATCAGTGTCTCCGATAGACATGAAAACCCTCTTTAAAACCCCTTTAAGAAACATTTATTTGCATTAACAGTTATCTAAAGCAAGAAGCGAAACAGATGCTATACAAGTGGCTGGTAAAAGAGAAAATTCACGACGTGTACATGAACCTCATCTTATCAACTTAAATGAAGATCCTATGTTATCAGGGGTTGTGTATCATTTCTTGGAGGAAGGAGAGATAACAATTGGTAGAAAGGATGCCAAGATTCCACCATCAATCTGCTTAACTGGTTTAAGGTAAATATTTCTTGCTGGCACATTGAAATCGGGCTGCAATCTTGCGAATAGTTTGACACAATGTATTTGTTCTGATTTAGTCTGAACCCTACCTTGACCGAGTGGAACCAACTTTTGCGGTTTCTAGATGGTTGATGTTTTTCGGCCGGTGGTTGTCCTGCCAATAGCGGACAATCATAATTCATCAGTGAACTTTTTGCATGACATTGGTAGGTGATGCCTGCTACTTCCTAGTTAGTAAACGTCCAAATGTTTGTGTTGAAGCAGAATTTTAACTACACATATGGTTGATCACAGCCTAGAAACATCAAGCACAACTAAACAAAGTTAAATTAAAATTTTTCAGTATTCAAAAGCAACATGCAGTAATGTATAATAATAAAGGCGTTGTTAAAATAGAAGCTGTCGGTAATAGTGGATCTAAAACTAAAATAAATGGTATTCCACTTACAGGACTGAAAACCTTATCTCATAAAGATCGAGTGTTATTTGGTAGGTAGTCTTTTGATTGCTAAAATGTTAGCTATGTGGACTGACAAGTTGACAAACCCATCCGCAAAGTGGCATCTCTACCGATACCCGCACTAGTACTTTAGTAGCACAGTACTGCAGTAGTAGAGCTCAAATTCACTCTCTTCTTTTAGTGGGTAAACACAAGAAATTAGCTAGAGTTGCCATTGTGCCAGTTCGCGAGTCTTTGATTATTAATTTCAGCAAGATACTGTCCGCCAGCATGTCCATGGATGGATCTTTTCGTAAAAAAGTCATAAAAAATATTTGTAGCACTCATTAAGATGTCAACACGAGAATTTATCTGTAAACTTAGATCAAACACACTTGATGTACAGACTGTTTTCTTTTATAGTTAATCGATTTTCTCACTAACTGGTACTGACAGTTGTATAATGACTTTCAGTTCATGGCAAAACATATTTTTATTAGTTTACTTTTTATGTATTATTTCCCTCTAGGACAGAAATTTCAACCACACTATATTGATACATTTTAACATAGGAAACAATCAAATTTGGAATATCCGTCTTGTTTTGAAGCTGATATTCCATAATCTATATAATACAAAAACTGTTTTTAGTAATTCCATTTTATGTGACAATGTTTTTCTCACATTTGTACATTGTTCTTAGATTTTTTTCACTTGATAAAGGCCATGGGGTCGAAAATTTGTGGTAAAAAGGGGTTGTGTTATCTCTAAGATAAATTATAAGTAATAATTCAAATTTTCACATAGGTTCCAACCATCTTTATGTATTTATGAACCCGAAACAAAAGACCACAACGGATGACCTTCCAGATGAAATAACTTGGGAATTTGCTCAGAAAGAAATAGCCCAAGCTAAAGGTTTTGATACCGGTTCGGTTGGTTTGACAAAAGGTATGGCTTCATTTAGCTGTTATATTTAAACCCGTCTGAGCTGGACTAATGATGTTTAATTCCATGAAAATGTACTCCAAATCGACTAGTTTGTGAAAACAAGTTAGTTGGTTGGTATATGATAAGTTAACTTCCGCTTCCAGCTGAAGTTGAAACCAGTTTAAAATCGAAGACTTGTAGGTTCCTATTCATTTGTGTAGCAATGCAAGTTTTTACTCCGCTGTGCGAGCATTTCGACAATAATTGTATGGGGGAGTAACGTTTAAATGTGTCTTTTAACAAATTCAAGTACATATTGTCGGGGTGGTGTCAAAAATAAAGATATGAGGCACCGTTTGTGAATCTATATAAATAGTCTTTAATGCACATTAATTCGTGTCCGGTACACGAAGCAAGAGGTCGAATACCATTAAAATATCAGAGAGAAAATTGATTGTGGATTAGTATTGACACAAACACTAATGTTTGATGATTTTAGATCAACAGATAGCTCAAGAGAATATTCTGGAATTATTACCAATGGTATCAGAGGTTAATGCTGTCTCGGAAGAACTCAATAAACATAAATCATTTGAAGTTGTTTTGATATCAGCAGCAGCTCAAGAAACGAATAACTCTCAACCCAATCAATCGGTGTAAGTTTTAATGGATTCTGACCACTTAATTTCCCGTTAATGTCGGAAGTGTGTCACTTGAGAGCATCAGATGTACACCATCGACCAGATTACTTTGTTTACGAAAGTGAAAGTGCCGAAATCAGATTCTAATCAAATTTTAGTATGGTCGCTGTATAAAATAATGCAGTGTGTGTTTTGAAGCTTTATGAAATGACTACCGTTCATTTTGTAATTTCTCTCTTGCATTTATCTGATTTTGTCATGGTGAAAGCTCTTGTGCTCATTACTAGCGACTATAGGATTAAAAGATCACTGGGTTGTGAAGCAATTACCACATATTCTGGGCTTTGTGGAGAGTGGGGCATTTATTTTTAAAATATACATACATAATATACATACATAAACATATATACAATAATAAAATATATGGAGGTATAACGTTGCCAAAATTGTCAAGTACAATGGTCGATTTGTAAAAATGCAACATGTATAAGTATTTTCCAAAATCCAATGAAATGCCACAGTAATGCAGATTACATTTAACACTTTGCATTATAAACTTTGCATTATACATGTTTTGCATTATACATTTTTGCATTTTACACTTTGCATTTTAACTTTGCATTATACATTTTTGCATTATACATTATTTATTACAGAGTCAGTGTCAAAATGAAAGATCTGGTGAATGGAAACGTATGGTTGTGGGACAAAGGGAAATTTATGAACAGAAGATACCTGATACAGGTCCGTATTCGTCAACTTGAACATATTCACTTTTCAGAAATAAATTTCGACGGTTTACAATAGCATTACGTTTAAGTTGAATTGCATATATTGATATTGAGCTTTAACAGTGTAACATCTTTCGAGACGACTATATTCAAAATTCTATTCTATTCTACTATCGAGACATATTTGCAGAAAAGCAATCTGGTGTGGAATTATGGCTCTAGAGGTCATAATACACCGCAATAATAGAAAACCAATCAAAATGTCTGCAAATATCGAATGATAATACCACATAGCCATGAGTCATAATGTTGTATTTTCAGGACATGTATCAAAGATATTTGGATGGTG